CGTATCGAAAGGCACGAACCTGGGATCCTGATCCCTGCAAAATCGCGTAACCCTTCTTTCAGAAAATGGATATCCTAAATGATTGTTCGTTAAACCCGTTCAAAATTATAATTCATTCGAACAGACGATTAATGACATGTCTTTAAATGAAATGTCTTACTTCATTTGTGAAAATAATGTACACATAACTGATCATAATTTTGATTAACACTAGAACTACTACACCAGTCATTTTGACTAGTTGGTCTTTAACTTGATTTGGTATCAAGAATATTTTGATACCAAATATTCTTTATTATTGTACTTATTGTTATTATTATATAATTTTTAAGATCTCAGAACATGGAGTTCCTTTTGTAAAATAATAATAAGTCAATAAATATAAAAATATTCTACTTTTACGTCTTTTTTAAAGAACAGTCATTTTGACTAGTTTTGATAAATCTACGTCTCAACTGTAGTTCTAGTGTTAATTAAAAATGTTCATTTGTAATCGTGACAAAGTTTAATTAGACATCACTTTATTTCGAAAATAATTTTAAAAAAGGATATTTTTAACGATATTACTTATTGCAAATGTTTATTATTATTTACGATTGAAAATATTTGATGAATTTGTTTACCGTTAAAATCATATGAAACAACGTTAACGAAAAATGGTATCCATATATAGTTTGTAAATAAATAATTTAATGCAAATGCAAATAACGTGTACCCAAACTTTCGTACGGTAGTATACATATGTTATTTCAATATAAATATAAAAAATACGTTTGATCGTTCGAGAATGTGCACACATATGTACTGACATTTATCTTTGGAATAAGAGACAAAAAAAATACGATAAATAAAAGTTCTCCGATCGAATTTCCTTTCTCTATCTTTTTCTCTCTTACAAATACTTTATAAAAAAAAAAATACGATACTTAACGATTCTAAAAATCGATGTCTCGTATGTCTCTTACACGATATATCGAAGTAGTAGAAGGCGTGCAGGTAAAATGTAAAACGAGCATGATTTACGAGTCACACTCGTGCTTTCTTCCTCCTTCCATTCCCCTTTTCTTCCATGAAGTTTCATCTCTCCTTCCCTCTCTCTCTCTCTTTTCTCTTTTTCTCGTGGGTGTCTCTCGGAGTCATGTTTATATTAGCCGGCAATAAGTGACACGTCGGTATGCCCGCTCATTTTACAAGCGTAAACATGAATTACGGTGGCCGGTTCGTGCTTCCTGAGAACATCCTCGGGCCCGATCATATTCCATGGATTCAAACGCGAGCAAACAAAGATTTGAGTAATTTGAACACCCTCAAATCCGTTGAAAGTACCTTCCCTTGCTGAATTACGATATCCCGAAACGGACCAATCTTCGTTAAGCAAAATTCCAAAATGTACCTACTCGAGTTTATCATTCTCATTTCTGCATTCAACGTTATCCGTCTTTAGACACTCGAAAACAAATGTACATTTTTTGTTTAATTAAATGAAATTTATTAGAGAATGTGAATTATTAGATATAAAATCATTTTTTATTTCTTTTTTTTTTTTTTTAATAATTTTCCTAACACATTAACACATAACTTTACAAAAGGATCGTCTAATTTTCTTTCATAGAAGTAGGCTAATACGGAGTTTCACTTTCGCAATTCAAAGTCCTGTTATATTCCGTTACCAACAAAACAGCTTACCTTCTGAACGACAATAAATCCCACTCGGTAGCGTTCTTAATCTTGGATTAAATTTCCTGCGAAAATTGCGCAATCATCGAACGTTGCTGTATCTCCCTTCACCCTCTTCCCATTCCCTTCCTCCTGTCATTCTTTCTCTTCCATTCATTTCATTCTTTTCTTTCYTTCTAGGCAATTAGCTCGATAAAGTTGAACTTCTTTTATAACAGTCAATTCGCAGTCAAATTAGTCAACGTTAAAATGCCATAGGTATAAAACTAAGGGTATTTATGTTAGCTTACTAAACATGTCCAATTATAGCCAATAAAACTGGATCTAATCTTGTCCTAATACGGAATATTACGGTGTTTAACCGGATTCTTTGGAATATAGACATCTGTTATCGTTAGGATCTCGTGTTCTCCTTCCTACAGGTAGTTTCAATTTAACCTTGCACGCCTCTTTTAAATCATCTTTTTCATCGATCTTTCGAAGGTCGTAGAAATGTTAAAAATTAAATGGAGAAATTGAGAGATAATTGGGAACGTTAGAGATATACCTAAGCGTATTGTTCAGAGAGATTAATAAAGAGCAAGAGGTACATATATCGAACACCGACGATGCAAGAGACGATTATTATAGTATAGCTCTTAATACCGTGATCCAGGGAATCGGCTACGGGACATGGGAGGTCAGAGCGCTTATTGCTTCTCGATGCGCGCTCATTAAATCGATGTTATTAAGTATGATTAGAGACAGATGACCGCACAGTTTGCACGGTTCAAGGATTTCATCTATCCATTCGTGTCTACTGCAGTCTAATGCTCTGAGAAAATAGACGCGTACTATTATATATGTATTCACTTACACTACGTATGTGTATAATATTGTATTACACATACTTATTCATAGTTGCTTACTTAAATGCATATACACGCATATACACTTCGTAAAGACTATAGGATAAATAGGCTTATCATCTTTCTCGCGTCATTCGACTTTGAAAAGCACCGTTCCACTTTCGACGCCTAAATCGCGCATTATAACGGTTGTTCGATACTACGTTACTTCGCCATGACTAGAAAGAGAGAGAGAGAGAGAGAGAGAAAAAGAAATAGACGAGAAATAGTCGAGCCAAATGCTCCTCGTTATCGTACGATTCGTCATTACCATTGAATTTCGTTTATGCAACCACGAATAGTAAGATGAAAGCAATCGATTGTAACAAAAAAAAAAAAGATAAAATAATACGCTACGGAAAATCATTCCAAGTTTCTCTTATCTTTCAATACGTTTACCTTTTCAATCGACTATATTGCAAACCATTTAATAGTCGCAATATTATCCTATTCTTGAGAAATCTTTAACTACTAAACAGAACGATCGAAATACACGATCATCAAATCCATTTCTACGATTTTTTATTTTATTTATATATTTCGTCATCGTTTATATTATCATCGTCACAATTATTTTTCATTTCGCAAGACGTCACTATTTTAAATTACCTTGCATTGAAAATCATCCCACTCATTTTTTTGTTCTTGCATTATTATACTTCAAACCGACAGAGAAAATTTGTAAGCGACACAGAGGTTAATTGTGATTCGTACGTCATAAATCACGATCGTTCAAATTATCATTGCCCCGTCGGTTCGTTGTTGGTGGACCATCTCGAACGCCCGAAGCGAGAATCCTCATTTCCCCCACCCCCTTCAGTCCGTAAAACGGGACGTGATCCGGCCGATTATTCGTGTCACTTTGACGTCGTAGGACAGCGTCGGCGATTAAGAATTATATGAGCCCGTTTTGAATCGTATCGTATCTCCTCCCAGCTTAATTTTCGTTCCCGCCTTTCGTAATTTATACACCCGCCTGAATGATTGGAAATTCAAACGAAAGAGACTTTGATTAAACCAAGAAAAAAAAGAAATGAAGAAAAGTAAATTTAAAAAGTTAGAACGAATTAATTATTATTGTTAAATATCGATGTATGATAATCAATGAGAAAATTGTCATGAGAAAATATCGTATTTAATTATTTATCATAGTTTTTAATTGTTATTATTTTGACGAGCGAGTTACGCGTTTTATATGAACGATAGAGACGATCAATTATAGCGTATCTTTGTCATTTAACTTAACCATTGTCCCCTGATGAGGGTATACAAATTATCCAATGTCTCTGAATGAATGCACACGACTGTCTATTTATCAACTTTCTTCTACCATCCGCCTCTATCGTTCGTTTTCTTTCATTCTTTCTCTCTTTCTATCTTTATCTCCGACGAAACACAGCTTTCTCCGAGACATCACGTCTTCTGATGGCGATCCATTCATCGAGAGACGGATGATTGATTTCATAAATCCCACACGAAGTGACTCCTCCGGCCACTACGAGAGGGTATAAGATCATCCATCCCGTAGAAGCAATAAAGTTTTTCCTTGCGTAAGAGTCAAGAAACGTCTCCTTCGTTCGTGAAGAGAATTCGGATAAGATTGGAATGTATATACATATATATATATATATATGTATGTATGTATGTATGTATGGTTGAAGATTTAAAAGGTCTCGCTTCGATCGAGCACGTGTGCGCATTTTGTGCAATCTCTATTTTACTTCTCCTACCTCTCGTACGTAGTTGAGCTAACAGTATATAAATATAAAATATTTTCTGTTATTTCACGGCTCGGAACCATTCCATAAATCTTTGTGGGGCCAACGAAAATGGAGCTGTACATCAACACCGTGCGTGAAATAAATCGAAGTATATAAACCGCGAACGCGTTTCGCGAGAAAATATCTATCGGACGCATAAATTCTTCGTCGATGTATAGACGTGTTTATGTATGTGTGTGTGTGTATCGTTCGGACTATCGAAAAACAATCTTTCATCGTTGTGAAAAAAATGTTGAGATCGTACGACGGTAACGGGAGGCCGAAACGTTACGACGATTCTTTGTTCTATCTCTATGATCTACGAGAAATATTCTCCTAGTTGAGATCTCTAGGATAGAAAAATATTCATATAATAAATAAAATATACGTCAAATTAATTAAAACGTCTTTAGAATTTTAATATTTCCTTTTGAATTTACTTTCTATCCGTGACTAATGGTCGAACATTTGATATTTTTTTTTCTTCTCATAGGTTAGAGACTCTTACCAAATTCATCAAAGAAAAAAAAAGAAGAAGAGACTAATTCCCTATATTAATCAAAAACCTTTGTCAAATCCTATATAAGACGACTCTATTCCTTTCGTGTTTACGTAAAAAAGAAATCTAACGTACCTAAAACTAACACTTTCGTTTGTGGCATGCCGTGTGTTACAGCGTGCGACTGCCACCCGATCGGAGCGTCTGGAAAGACCTGTAACCAGAACACCGGTCAGTGTCCCTGTAAGGACGGTGTAACCGGTACTACTTGTAACAGATGTGCCAGAGGATATCAACAGAGCAGATCGCACATTGCTCCTTGCATCAGTAAGTATTCACGGTTTTATTTCTACAAAACCGTCCTTCCATTACCTCCTCAATTACATTTTTCTTCTCCTACGTTTATGCAAATTAAAAAAAGGAAGAACAAAAAACAAAGAAAAATAAATCTTGAATAGGATTAGAGAATTGAAAAGAAGAAAAGGGTTTTAAATAGGAACATGTTTATCTTGAGCAAAGGGTGTAACGAGGGTGGTCGAGTCTTTAAATTGAACTGAACGAATAGGAAAGTTATTTTTTAAAGGGATATCACGGTGGTCAGCAAATCGAAGACGCTAGAATACAAAGTAACTTTTTGTACTAACAATGTACGAGGGTGATTCTATCGAGAGCGTATTTCGCATTTCTCCTTTCTCATTTCCATCGATCGATCGAGCAATAGGTACGGCAGCATGAGCAGCACCAAGCACCAAGCACCAGCATCAGTACTAGCATCAGCATCAGCAAGGTGGGCAGAATGTTCGAGTGTGGAAGGAACGAGTTGTGCACCGTACCGCTGAGTGATCGATCGTTCGTTCGTTCGTTCGTTCATTCGTTCCTTCGATCGATCGTTCGATCGATCGATCGATTGAACCGAGACACTTGAAGGAGATCGTTCTTCGAGATCCGACCAAGAGACGGCTTGTCCAATTAGAGAAAGATTTGCGAAAACGAGTCATGTCCGAAATCGCTTTGACTCCTCGTCGATCGATCGATCGATCGATCGAATTGAAAACTGAACTGAACCAAACCGAATTAAATGTCACCGTCATTGTCGATTCGTGAACATCGAACTGGTTAAACGATTTTAACGCAAATTTCTTTTATTAGCAAGTAAGAGTATATATATAAATGTATATATGTGTGTGTGTGTGTGTGTGTGTACTTATATTATACTACTTCTCTCTTTTTCTTTTTGTTTTCTCTGTTAACAGAAATACCGAGGGTCGTACAAACTCAAGGCACAGCTGGAGAGGAAAGTGGAGAACACGAGGACGAGGACGACGATCGTGGATACGATGGAAGAGCCGGTAAGTAAGTGCCAAGTAAACCGGCGTGTGTGTGTTTTTATTCTTCTCTTCTTCGTCTAAACTATACTCGACATACCAACACGAGTCTTTAACTCGACGAGTATGACGGGCTATTCCGTTCTTTCCACAATGTCACGCCTCGATGACTTTATTATTATCATCTTCGTAAATTGATATTTGTACCAATAATTATCGATAGTCAACACTAATGTAAGAGAATATTGCAAATTATTGATTTTATGATTTATTTTATATATATTATAAATTAACTTATTTTATAGAATTTTAATAATCGTATAGAAGAAGAGTATTATATGTTACGGTTAATAACATTTCTAACAAAACAAAAAGAATTATAAAAACAACTCGTCGCACGATGTTGTAATAAAAGAAACGACTGATTCTAGGGGTTCATTTACATATATAAAAAGGTAATTTAATAATTATTAAATGAAACATACGCTAATTTTTTTTAATAATCAATTCGGTATCGAGTACTTCTATTCAATTTAACGTATACCGTTCTTACAGATACATCCATTTCATTACTTATATTATATAAAATAAATGAAAAAATCAATTCTTTTCTCTTCTCGTTTTATTACTTATATTCTACTGTCATAATTATCGGTTCATATTTATATGTATATATAGATGTAAAAAATTGAAATGTAATCGTTAAACTAACATGACCAAGCAAATTTCATGCTCACGTTTAAACGTTCCGATATTAATTACACGAGTTGAAATAAATATCGAGGGAGAGAAACTCGAGCGAAACTAACGAGATAAAGTTGCATTACTTTATCCGATAGAAATTACAAGATTTGCATCTCTTTTTCTATCGTTCATTCATTCATTCGTTCGTTTAAACTAAAAAATATCATAGGCAAAAAAAAAAAATAATATACGATCGGTCATCGTATCTATTCTCCCTATCTATTTCATATTTATTCCCTACCAATGGACTTTCCCAAGAAGAGAGGAGAACCTGATCTTCGATATTTTTAAATCTCTACAACCGAGAAATTAGATACGGACATAAAGCACGAGCTTACGATCGATATGCGAATCATAAATGTTTTACGAGCCGTGGGCGAGAGAGGGGTCTAAACGACAAGAAATTGTCAGAGTTAATATAATTTTCCGAAATGTCGTAAACCGGTAAGTAAATGTCAACTAAAGAAACGTGCCTCTCTCTTACACACACACATACATGCACTTGCAGTTTGTCTTACAATTCTAACTAGCATCATTCGCTAAAAAATTTATTTACCGTTCGAACGTGACGATTGTATCATCCGTGAAACATCTTTTTCCACGTTCCCCAATTTCACCGTAAATAATATTACAATAGAACAAAAAGAGTCATTTAAACAATAAGGTCAAATTTATACTCGGTCGTGTTGAAGAAAGGAAGGCAGGAAGGAAGGAAGGAAGGAAGTCGATCTAGATACAAACCGCATCACGCGGAATGGAATGTAAGCGCGATATTAATTTAGCAGACGGAGTAGAAGGAAGACAAAAAGGTGGAGAGGGTAAAAGGAGAAAAGGGAGAGTAAGCGAGTAAACGAGAGAGAGAGAGAGAGAGAGAGAGAGAGAAAAGGGAAGAAAAGGAAAGGGAAGGTAAAACGGAAGAGGGTTTGAACGTCTAGCCGGTTGGTCGCAGCCTCTCAGCCACCCCTAATGGCTTAATTAAAACCACCCTCAGTGGTGGTGCGCGACCCGGGCGTTTACTCAACGCGCGCGCTTCTCCGCGAGAGTACAGTTTCCATGTTTTATTTACACGCGAAATTCGAATGAAACACGATCTCGAGGCGATTACATTTCCGATATAGATGTTATTATTGTAATATAGCAATCAAAGCGTCCCACTCTTTCGATCTATTACTCTCTATACCTGAATATGTGTTCAATTACGATATTGCGTGGTTCAATTTAAATACATACTTGTATAAATATATATAAATATATATGTGTGTATATGTTTATCTATAGTACACGCATATCTACATGACGTGGTGGTTATCGTATCGGTAATTCCACTCTAAAAGCGATAAATCTAAGTGGTAATATCCAATAGGAGCTTTCGTTCTTCTGGGAACATACGGAACGAACCCGCGCAGATACACGATTTGGTTCCTCATTTTTAATTCAGTTTAATCGGCATTCCATCGTAAATCGCAATTGTAAAAGCGAATACTATCTCGACGTAATCTCATGGATAGAGCTCGTTATCGCAATCGAGTTTTTTCCCCTAGGGCGAGCTCCCCCTCTGAACTTTGACCCCGAACGATACTCCGAAGAGAACTTTCACCGTGGTGTATGAAAGCCACAATCATTTGACGGTGACATTTCTTTTTTTTTTCTTTTTTATGTATACACCTTTTTATCATCCTTTCTTTATTCTCGTTACTATTATCTCTCTCTCTCTCTCTCTCTCTCTCTCGTTTCAAACGAGACAAAAACCAATAAAAAATCTCAATACACGCCACCTCCTTTCAATAGAATCCTATTGCGAAACACCACTCATTCCTTCCTCCATCGTAAAATATCGTCACGTTAAATGGTCCCACATTACAATCGAATTTACACCTGCCTAAGAGTTATTAGCGATCCTAGCTCGTAAATACTTCCTAGAGAGAAAGATTAAACTTTTGCTAATTTCGAATTCAGACATTTACCCTTCTTTTTTTCCCTTTTCTTCTTCTTCTTCTTCTTCTTTCACAGACACACTTTCTGCGAAGAAAAATTTGCGAGAAAAAGAGATTTAAAATTCCTTCGCTAACTGGAAAAAGAAAAACGAGCTGTTAGCTAGCCGTGGAAAGCTTTGTAGGTTATAAACTTTAGATCGTAGATCAAGATACGTGATTGGGCTTGAAAATCAAATTCCAGAAAGTGTGGAATCGCGTTTAACTCGTAAAACTTTTTCGCGACAGCTACGAAAAAAAAAGGGTGTCACCAACAGACTTGTCTTTTTCGTTTTCCAAGTATAAAAGGGAAGAAGAAAAAATAAAGGAAAAGAAAAGGACGAAAGAAGAAAAGAAATAAATAAAGAAAGGTAAAAGAAAGCAAAGTAAGGAAGGAAAGTTAAAGAAGGAATCCGATTCTACCGACCTCGTCGTCGTTACTCACTCGTACGTAATTACGCTCGTAAAATTTTTCAAAGGCCGTAGACAATGTGCACCCGATGGCTCGGAAAGTGCTACCTCGGGGCTGACTTACTTCGAATGTAAGCATCGACCTATCTACGGAACATAAACGTTCGTAAAGAACAACCTACAGTGACTAGCAAAGATGATTGAGTACGTTCGTTTTGAAAATTATCAAAAGATTTATCTATCTTACTATTAAAAATAAAATAAAAATGCACTTTTGATACAAATTATATTTACATTTAATCAAAATGAATTATTATTTTGTTTGTTTTCTTCAAAATCATTTGAAAATCTTTTATATACGTCCCGCTTTATCTCATTTTTCATTAACTTCTATAAAACGTATTTCATCTTTTACGCGAGCCTCTGTATAATATTTCCCTGCTCTCTTACCTTAGTAACTTCAAGTATAGGAATAGATAAAAGCCTAGGAACGTGAAACGATGTTATACTATCTCTCAGTCTCCTTTAGTGAAACCGTGTGCGCGAAGAAAAGCTATTGAGAAAGTATGTGTTATACTACGTTCTGGTATACGTTCACTTTAACATTGCACGTATGCAACGCGGTACACATTTCGCGTCACGAATCGCATCTATATGTTAATGCGGAACGCAACTGCGCGCGTAATTCTCTCCGTGCACGCACCCACGCAACCCAGGAAAAGATCTCGAAAGGAAGACTGAGAAAGAAAGATGAAGAGATAGAAATAGAAAAACAGATTGCACCAAAGAAAGAGAGAGAGAGAGAGAAAGATAAAAGAAAGAAAAACGATATCGCGAAAAGTCGTGCAACCTGTATGCGAGTTCTATATCCACGAGACATCCTTACGTGGGTGCTCGATGAAAATTATAAGATCGATTATCCTAATAAATTATACAGTCTGGAATTATCTCAACGGGATGAAACTTTCATGAATTCCCTACGAATTTACTCTCTCTCTCTTTTTTTTTATCTGCTTTCTACTCGATGAATCGAAAATTTTCTACTCTTTCAATGATACACACAATAAAAAAAAAAAGAAACAAAGGAATGATTTTTCAAACTTTATGATTCTCAATCGAGAAAGGTAATATTATACTACTACTTTGCTCTCGTAAACGCGTTATTTGCAAATACAACAAAATTTGTCCTTGATACATAAATGCATAGATGCATACCTGCATACACAAAGTATATATATATATAGTTGTACATTCGTGTAACAAAGAACGACGAGTTGAGGTCGAAAGATCTCGCCCAAGCAAAACGTGGGAAACCATTTTCGAGTAACAACGTAAACTATGTAGTCGTTACGCGTTTATAATAGTATTCACCATAAGAGAAAGAGAGAAAGAGAGAGAAAGAGAAAAGTTACCACGTGTACATATACACAAAGAGGCGGCATTCGGGTTTAAACAGCTACGTTACTATCCCAAGTTCGATGTAATCGCTCGTATTCTCCGCTTTCAGATCTGAAAGCACACGACTCGCATACACTTGTAAGGATCGCGTGTAACCCTTTGCTAAATACATCCGTCGTAACTCCATCCTGAATTGCTAGATCTACTCTCAGAAAAAGGAGTATAACATAATTTACTTTACGACTCTTTGAGCGTTCGCTTCACGACTTGCCAATAAAGGAGAGAGACTTCGCCAAGGTACAGACGAGGTAGAACGGGGTAGGAAGGTGGTGAAGGTGGTGGTGGGGGGAGTAGGGAGTAAACGTTTCTCTTATTCATCTGTTAAGATCTACTTCGTGTACGAATATTTCTTTTTATTTTTATTTTTCCATACGATATAGTAAAATATTATTTAATTATTTTCTTATTTACTTTCTCTCTTTTTTTTTTTGCAAGATAAAT